ATTCTCAGGTCTTTGGTACACTTTGAATTGATTTTTTTTCTTTCTTATAGATGTGTGCCACCACATGTGGCTTTGATTTGTGTACAGGTGTGGAGTTGGGTCTACTTTCAATCTTGTACATAGGGCTATCCAGTTTTCCCAGCACAGTTTATTAAAGAAGCTGTCTTTTCTCAAGTATGTTTTTGGTTCCTTTGTCAAGAATCAGATTGTGTGGGTTTGTTTCTGTGTGCTCTGTTTTATTCCATTGTTCTGTCTCTGCCTGGGCTGGTACCATGCTGTTTTTGTTACTATGGCTTTATAATTGTGATTGCCTCCAGCCTTGCTCTGTTTCCCTAGGCTATTTGGGTTTTCTGTGCTTCCATGTGAATTTTAGGATTGGTTTTTCCAGTTCTGTGAAGGAGATCATTGGAATTCTGACAGAGAGCATATTGATTCTGTAGATTGCTTTTGATAATATGGTCATTTTAACAATGTTAATTCTGCCGATCCATGAACATGGGTGGTGTTTTCCATTTTTAGCATGTCTTCAATTTTTTTTTCTAGTGTTCTACTATTTCCTTGCAGAGGTTTTGGTTAGGTTGATTTCTCGGTTTTGCTTATTAAGCAATCATGAATGAAATAACTTTTATTCATTTTTTTGCTCAGCTAGTCCACTACTGGAGCATAGAAAAGCTGTTGATGGTCTAATGCTGACTTTGGCTCCTTTTGTCTTGCTACTGAAATAATGAGCTGGTGTGTACCTAGAATCCCAGCACTTGGGAAACTCAGACAGGATCACCTGAGCCCAGGACCTTAAGATCAGCCTGGCACCAAAGCAGACTATCTCAAAATACAAAAAAAAAAAAAAAAAAAAAAAAAAAAAGAGGAAAGAACTGCCTCTGGCTGTGAGGATGGAGACAGGTTCTGGGATCTTGTGTCAGCACAGGCACAGTTTAAGATTCCTAATGAGCTGGGGGTAGTGGTATGCAGCTGTAATCCCAGCACCCTGAGAGGTTGAGGTAGACGGACCACAAATTGGAGTCTGGGTAATTTTTGATGTGACCAATTTAATCATTAAAAATTTAAATTATTAAAAATTCAGCACCCTGAATGCTGGGATTACATGTGTATGTGTCACTATGCTCGGCATTTTTATGGTTTTCTGGAAGAGTATCTTCATTTTCCAGATGTATAGGATATATTGCTGAAGTATTAGGAATGAAGCATCCACCTTTGGGATTTACAGAAGATTTAGAACAGAGTGAACAAACAATGCAAAATTGTTAACAAATGGTAACTATGATAAGCATTTGGTATTTACTGCTTTATTCTTGCAAACTCTCGGTGGCATTCCTCCTGCTTCATCTTCCCAACTCTACAGTAGGTTTAATACTTCCCAGAATAAAAAATCTACTCCCACCTCAGAGCAGACCTAATACATCTGGGTGGAAGGACAGAGACACAGGCATTTGCATTTCAAATACATCTTCCCATTAATTTTTTTTTTCCTTTTGAGACAGAGATTCACTGTGTAGCTCAGGTTGACCTTGAATTCACTTTGTAGCAAAGATTGGTCTCAAATTCACAGCAGTTCTCCTGTCTCAGTTTCTGCTGTTTTGCCACCCCCTTTATCATTTTAAATTTTTTTCTTTTTCTTTTTTTGGTGTGGTGCTAGGAATCTAATCCAGAGCCTTGCACATGTTGAGACTAGATTTTTACCACTGAGCTGCCCTCGCCCCCAGCTCTCATACCACAGTGTTAGTCCTCTGATCTGAAGGACAGCAGTGTCCTTTTATTTTAGTCTTTTTTTTTTTCTTTCTTTTTTTTTTTTTTTTTCTTTTTTTTGTCTTTTTCCTTTTTACCGGTACCAGGGATCGAACTCACGACTGCCTGCTTGCAAGGCAGGTGCTTATGCCGCTGAGCTAAATCCCCAGCCCCTATTTTAGTCTTTTGAAGGGTAGAGAAAGTTGTATGGTTGTGCGCACATGTAATCCCAGCACTCTGGAGGCGATTCTTTTCAAATGTGTGAATTAGACATGTAGAGACAAGAGGTACTATGCCACACTTACTAAATAATATTAGTAAGTAATGATTAGATCTGAAACATAACTTGAACAACTTTTTTTTTTCTTCCTATTGTACTGACAACTGAACCTAGGGCCTTCACACTGAGCTGTATCTTGGTACTTTTTATTATTTCATTGTGAGACATTGTGTGACTTGCTAAGTCATTGAGTTGCCCTGATTTGGCTTGAATTTGGCAGCTTCCTGCCTCAGCTTCCCAGAGTACTGGAATTAGGAATTATAGGTGTGCACTACCACACTGAATTTCCAGTATGCTTTTAAAACTTGAAACTCATTTGACACGTGTAATCTAAAAGTCAGCCTTTGATGACTTCCTGAAGCCACAGCATCTAGTGGAATAGTTAGGTAACGCTAACCCTTAGGAAAACATTGGGCAAGTAGATATTAATTGAATGATTTCACGTTAAGACTTAAGAGACACTATAGATTAGTATTTAGTATCCGATTCAGTACTCTTAGATCACAAGATACTTTTAGTTGATTTCAAATGAAACAAGGTCTCTGATCATCATTCTCTGAAAAGGTCTGGCATCGCCTCCAATCTGAATTAGAACATCAGAGAGGTGCATGAGGGGCAGGATCATTAGGGTGAGGGACATTCCAGTACTGATTTTTGTCACAGTTACTGGCATGGTAATAATTTTCAACAGAAATGATTTCTTGATGTGAAATGTTATTGACAGCCAAATGTCTTCTCTAACATAGAAAATTACTTTGGTTCATTAAGCAGACTTTAGGCTGGTCTTTTTAAGTGACACAATGTTGCCTTGAGTATCTTGCACTGTTTTAGAAGCCCACGAATACAAATACTCCTTTTTAGTAAGCCGCCTGTGTTGCTCCTAGCTGAAACATGCCGCCCAAGCGGCCTTGCGGTTTATCTAAGCAGCACGTTTACTTGCTTGAATCTCAAGGCATCAATATCTCACATGAGAGGCAATTAAAACTGTCTTAAAACAAACACCCATTGAGATCAGGATCCAGGCCTATCTGGTCCGAGAGAGCACTCAGCTCTACCCGCCAGAAGCGTCCCCTGAAATTCCGGCTGCCAGGACCCTCGGTGGTCCTGAGCGTCCCTGCCGCTTGCAGGCGTTAATCACGGCCCCGTCGGTCATCCTCTGCACCGGCCAGTTCAAATCCTTAGCATTACTGGGAAAAGACCGAGGGACGGCAGAGGCGACAGAAGAGCAGCCAGCCCCGAGGCGTCCGGCGGTGACGCGGCCGGCCGGGCGGGTTCGGGGGCGCGCGGGGCTACCACCTTCCCCGGCAGGGACGCGGTTCACACCGCCAGGACTCAACAGTGGCGGGCCCCACGCACGGCACGAGTCCCCCGCGGCGCGCAGCACGGAGCCTTCGTTCTTCCGGCACCCGGGGGAGCCGGGCAGCCCCGCAGCCGCGCGCCGCACGCCGCACGCTTCCGCCGCCCGCCTCTGCGTCGGGGACGCGGAAACCCCGTAGGAGCAGGGAGGGCGGGCGGGGACGCGAGTCTCTTCACCGCTGCTGCAATATTCTTCCGCCGCAGAACAAAGAGTCCCAGGCCGCCTCCGGGCCTCGATATTGGCGACCTCACTAGTAGTATGGAAAAAATAGGAAATCTGAATTTTTCTCGTTGACTCGCTTTGGGCTTTTACCTGAGGTAACAACACCAGGGTCCTAATTTTGTGACCGACCGGAGGGCTACAAGAAAATTCCTCCGCGCGAAACGGGTTCCGGCCGCGAGGCTATAAAAAGCGGGCGGCGCGGTGCGGCTGTCTTTTCAGTCGGGCGCTGAGTGGTTTCTCGGATCATGTCTGGTGGTTCTGCGGATTATAACAGGTATGGCGCCCTTTCGGCGGGAGGCGTTGAGTGGGGAAGGTCACGGAGCGCCTGGCGTTTTCGCGGGGGGCCTGGAGGTAAGGAGCTACAGCTCCACGGGCGTCTCTAGGGCACAGGTCTTCTGTGCCTTTCGAGAAGCTTCCATCATGGGAAGGGCTACGGGGCGACAGGTCGAGGGGACGACAGCATTATGGTGACGGGGACTCCAAAGGCGCTTGAGAAGCCTGGCGCCTTTGCCACCCTGTGGGACACGGCGTCTCGTAAAGGGCCGTGGCGCAGCCCGCGTTAAGCGCGGTGCGGCAGGCGGCCGACGCATGGTTTTCGGTCCTCAGCCCGGCTCGGGGCCCTGCGCCGTAGCGGAGGGGGTGGTGGCCGGGAGCCGCCGGGACGGGCCGCGGGGGCGCCGGAGGGCGGTTGGCAGCGCTTCGCCGGCCGCCTCGCCCGCGTCAATCACCCGGCTTGCGCAGAGTTGGGGGCGGAGCTCGGCGCGTGGCGTTCTCGCGAGAGCCTTGGCTCCCGAAACGGGAGCGGCCCCGCACGGGCGTGCGGGGAAAGGGGCTGGTGGGTGGCGGAGCGCGGTGCCCGCGTCCGCGGTGCCAGCTTTGTTAGCTGTCGGAGGGCAGAGTACACTGGTGGGGAGGAGTGATGTGACAAAGCGGGTCATAAAAGGCAGGCGCGCTTTAAAGGTGGGGCACAGGTGGCTTGGGGAAGGGATGTTGCCTAACTGCAGTGTTCTTGCCAGCAGAGAACATGGAGGCCCAGAGGGAATGGACCCCGATGGTGTCATCGAGGTAAGAAAATGGGTGTGGGGCTTGGATCTGTGACATGGTGGGTGCTTGGCATCCGTATTTACGTTAGTGTTTTTCGACTTACAGAGCAACTGGAATGAGATTGTCGATAACTTTGATGATATGAATTTAAAGGAATCACTTCTTCGGGGCATCTATGCTTACGGTTTTGAGAAGCCTTCAGCTATTCAGCAAAGAGCTATTATTCCTTGTATCAAAGGTAAAAGGAAACTCGTTGGCTCTTTAAGAAAGTAAATTCAGTGTTCCACGTAGACTTTGGAGCATAAAAGGGAAATCAACCGCAGGGGGTCTACTACCACCTCTCTGTATTCCTAAAAGTGAAATGATGGCAAATCATCTTTCGGGACTGAACCTGAAATGAAGAGAATACTCTTGCTGATCGCTTAATTGTTTGGGCATAATTCATGTTCCAACTGGAATACATGGTGTGAAGTAGAAGTGACAATTTGATGTGGGATCAGTAAATATGTATCCTACTTTTTTTAGGATATGATGTGATTGCTCAAGCTCAGTCAGGTACTGGCAAGACAGCCACATTTGCTATTTCCATCCTGCAACAGTTGGAGATTGAGTTCAAGGAGACCCAAGCACTAGTATTGGCCCCCACCAGAGAACTGGCTCAACAGGTATTGATAGTGTAGTTCAAAAAAAAACTGCTTGCGTGTTGCATAGGTTTCAGGTTTCACAACTGTGAAGAATTTAAAGCTTAGCATAACTCGGTCCTATCAGAGCCCCCTCTTAATTTTCTGTGCATGCAGGGAGTATTTGTTCAAAGATAAGCAGGAACTGGGTGTGTAGGTATGTTTTTTAGGTTTGTATGCTGACATTTGAGAATCCAAAGTGTTCTGCTCAGGGTGGACTAATCCAGATTTGAAGATTGAATGCAGTTGTGCAACATGAAAACTGCAGTGACATGTTACCATTTGACTGTCTCAGTAGTTTGTGATGCATCTGTTGCATGCTATGTTTTCAAAGCTCACTGTTGTATTGGCTTTGAAGTAAACCTAATAAAGCAGTGGGCTTTATTAAGGTCCAGATCCGAATAAGACTCAGTACATTGTGGGAGGAAAAAACCCCAATTATTTGCCCTATTGTATTTATGGAACTTGGGTTTATTAACAAATTATTACACAGTGAAGGATAATATAGGGAATGATTTCTGGGGCAATAGGATCCCAAACAACTGCACAAAACATTAAAGAGAGTGTTAGCTTGAAACAGGTCAGTCTTGTTTGAAGCTTAAAAGGGGTGTTATGCTCTGCATGCTTAGAAGCTGTTGGCCGACCAGGTATTTTGCCATTATGCTTTGGAAGTTAGTTTATTCTATAGGGTAATAATTATGGTCTTTTGGGTTTTAGATCCAAAAGGTAATTCTGGCACTTGGAGATTATATGGGAGCAACTTGCCATGCCTGCATTGGTGGAACAAATGTTCGGAATGAAATGCAAAAACTGCAGGCTGAAGCACCACACATTGTTGTTGGAACACCAGGGAGAGTATTTGATATGTTAAACAGAAGATACCTTTGTAAGTGTATTTTAAGTGTATTGCTTGTTGTAATTGTCAAATCTTGGAGAATCTGGAGATGATACAGTATGACTTAATTATTAACAGCTCCAAAATGGATCAAAATGTTTGTTTTGGATGAAGCAGATGAAATGTTGAGCCGAGGGTTTAAGGATCAAATCTATGAGATTTTCCAAAAACTAAATACAAGTATTCAGGTAAGTTTTATTTTATCCCCTCATAGTTAAAGGGATTAGATTTTAATGCAGGTACAGTTACAATATAACTGAAGTGTTCTATTGTCGTTCCCCCTGCTTAAAGTATTTGATACATTACTATCTCTGTCTAACATCATTCCATGGTGAGACAGAGACGCTTGGTCTCAAACATTTTTTTCTTGACTTTCACTGAAAATTACACTACGAGCTTGTGTGACAACATAATCATTGTCTCCAGGTTGTGTTGCTTTCTGCCACAATGCCAACTGATGTGTTGGAAGTGACCAAAAAATTCATGAGAGATCCAATTCGGATTCTGGTGAAGAAAGAAGAACTGACCCTTGAAGGAATCAAACAGTTCTACATTAATGTTGAAAGAGAGGTAATTTGATTAGTTAGAAATACAGCTAGATTTTACCTTCTTGTATAAGCACTGTGCTAAAATTGCAGAAACTAGGATCATGTCTTGGTTTTTGTAATAATGCTAGCAGAGTACACACAAGAAGAAAAGTAACTGCACTAGACCCTAAAGACTGGGGTGGACCTCTTTCTTAATGTCCAGTGTCCTTTGTCTTAAGGTTTGGTGCAATATGTCTTCAGGCTTACTGTTAAAAATTCTATTGAAAAATGTGACTGTCATTGACTGTAAATTTTTCTTTGAAAATACCTAGGAATGGAAGTTGGATACACTTTGTGATTTGTATGAGACACTCACCATTACGCAGGCTGTTATTTTTCTCAATACGAGGCGCAAGGTGGATTGGCTTACTGAGAAAATGCATGCCAGGGATTTCACAGTTTCTGCTCTGGTAAGTGGTGGTACTAGTATTGCTGAGGAGAATAAACATACATTCATTAAAGCAGGATTCAGACTACAGCATGGCTGTAAAGTGCTGTGCTGTCGTTCCCCCTGCTCAAAATAAAGTTGTTTCTTAACTATACCTGTCTGCCATGCCTGTGTAGCAGCCAGGGACGCTTGGTCTCATACATGATGAAACTGCAACTTGGCCTACAGGTGATTCTTGAATTAGCTTACTGCATTTGTTTACATTCATACAGCATGGTGACATGGATCAGAAAGAGAGAGATGTTATCATGAGGGAATTCCGATCAGGGTCCAGCCGTGTTCTGATCACTACTGACTTGTTGGTAAGGTTTTTAAATTTTTTCTAATCTACCAAAAGTTAAATTTCAAGGGTAAAGTTTTTAAATAAGCTTTACCAATCTAGGCTATTTGGGAGACTAAAAGACCACACTCCACAGTGAACTATACCACTCAGTATAGTTCATTACTATTTTGTGGCTACATTACATAGGTAATCCAGTTTTTTAAAATTTGATCAGAGTTTTGAACATACTTCTTTGTGCTTTAGGCTCGTGGAATTGATGTGCAACAAGTGTCTTTGGTTATAAACTATGATCTACCTACCAATCGTGAAAACTACATTCACAGGTGAGCAGAGCATCCTGACCATTTGTGTAGCTGGCGAAATTCATGTGTATTCCTACGAACTGTAGGAAAGGTATGGTCAAATCAGGGTGTAGATTGTTTGAAAAGAGCAGTTTAGTAAGATACAGTTAAAATTACACTTGGGAAGACTGGCCAGAACAGAGCAAAGTGGGAAAACTTGTAACTATGACCAGATTGTGCATACATACAGATGACTTGACGTTGCTTAGGTCTTGAGTTTTATTGTTAGTGATGCTCTTGTCTATGTGCTTTTTTTTTGGTGATTTTTCTGTAGTTGGGGTTTTTCTTGGTGTGCTTGATAGCATTTTGAGTGATCCCTGGTTTAGTCATAGTGGCTTTATCCCTAAGTAAATTGGAACTGTACTTTGTTATATGATGTAAAAAAAGACTTTTTAAAAAATACAGGAGTCGATAGCAGCAGTTGATGACGAGATGGCGCTCAGAAGCGGCGTTGACGTAATTTAGGACGTGGAGTCATAAGCGAAACAGCACTGTTTGAATAAAGAGCGAGTCGGTATTTATAATTTGTTTTTCTTTTGTCATGATTATTTGATATTGTAAGTTGTTCCAGCCCAGGCATTTCATGTTGGCATTTCTACTAGGGAGCGTAAGGTGGTTTGTTGTCTGGTTTGTGTAGGAAGGTTGAGTTCTTTTGGAGGTGAACACGTTTGAGTAATTGAGTACAACGTGTGACACTGAGCAAACAAAAGCAGTGATGAGTTTGGGTCACCATACCAAATCTGTTTTCCCACTGAAAACATTTTAAGTTTTAGAAATTAGTTAACCTTCAGCATTTGTATTTACAGTTTACAGTTCCAGAAGTGCGTCGAAGTGGATTACATAACTGTTCTTTTGTTTTATCCCTGGTGTTCACATCTGTCCCAGGCTGACAACTGCTCTTGGCTGGCCCACTTTGGTATGGGCTTTAATTTCACTACCCCAAACACAATACTGTCATCTGCTTTATAGTAATGCTCAAGATGCCTGAAAATCTCATTTTGCAGCCAGACAAGTCTTTGAATCCTTTTTGGCACTAACTGCAAAGTAGTATTTTTTTTCCTCTACACACTGATTTGGCCGCTAGTGCTCCAATTAGAAGCACGAACTGTAACCTTTAAGTAAACTGCAGCTGATGGTTAACAAGTGGATCCTCATGTTCAGTAGTTCATACAGTATGTGAGAAGTAACATTCTCATTGTCGTTTTCTTTCTCTTACACAGAATTGGCAGAGGGGGTCGATTTGGGAGGAAAGGTGTGGCTATAAACTTTGTTACTGAAGAAGACAAGAGGATTCTTCGTGACATTGAGACTTTCTACAATACTACAGTGGAGGAAATGCCCATGAATGTGGCCGACCTTATTTAATTCCTGGGATGAGAGTTTCGAATGCAGTGCTCGCTGTTGCTGAATAGGCAATCACAACGTGCATTGTGCTGCTTTGGGAATTTTTGAATCTTGTCTCAATGCTCATAACGGATCAGAAATACAGATTTTGATAGCAAAGCGACATTAGTCGTGAGCTCTTGTGAGGAAAGTCATTGGCTTTATCCTCTTTAGAGTTAGACTGTTGGGGTGGGTATAAAAAGATGGGGTCTGTAAAATCTTTCTTTCTTAGAAATTTATTTCCTAGTTCTGTAGAAATGGTTGTATTAGATGTTCTCTATCATTTAATAATATACTTGTGGACTAAAAGATATAAGTGCTGTATAAAATCAGCCAATTATGTTAAACTAGCATATCTGCCTTTATTGTGTTTGTCTTTAGCCTGGATAGAAAGGCCTTTAAAATTGATTTTTTTTTAAGGAAGCATTTGAATGCATTTTGTTTTGGTATTGTATTTATTCAATAAAGTATTTAATTAGTGCTAAGTGTGAACTGGACCCTGTTGCTAAACCCCAGCAAGCAATCATATTCTAGGTAGGGTTAAACCCCCAGTAAAATTGCCATATTGCACATGTCTTAATGAAGTTTGAATGTTAAATAAATTGTATATTCACTTTATAAGGTGGTTTGGTCATTTTTATTTTCATGTTCTGTATTACAAAGCATCTTTGAGCCAGTTTTCAGGCTAGCAATTCTGAGTTAATTGCTGCATTAGAGTTGCACAGATGCTTATCAATTGCAGGTATTCATCAGCACCATCTGTTAAACATTTGTCAACTTCCTAGAAGAAAAATATATTAAGGTTAGGACATTTCTAGCCACAATTGCTTCTTATACTGCCCAATGTCTACTCACAGCAAGTTTTTCTGTAATGATGGACTTCTGTTTATCAGAAAGGTTATCGTTCTCTACAACTGCATCATGAAGCTGGCTGACAAGCTGAGTTGCTGCGTGACCCTCATTTATCAGGTCCTGTAAAAGAGAAAAGGTGACCACAAAGTCCCCGACACCCCCCCCCCCCATTTAGTTAAGACTATGACTTAGTACTCAGTACCTTTACTGCAGCTTCTAGTTTGTCAAAAGAGCCACTCTTACATGCAGCAAATATTCCACCGATTGTCTCAGCTGGGATGACCTTTGGGGTAGAGGCAATTTGGATATCATGTACTTATTTCAACTTTGTTCCTAGGGTAGGGAACTATTATATAGTCTGTGCAGTACTTAGCCATCCTGTGGCCCTCAGCATGTTCAATGGGCCAAGTAATGTGACAGAAAACTTACCAGTTAAAATGTCCTAGAACCCTAAGTTATGAATGTCCTGTAAGTTAGTCATGTTCTGTTTATACAGCTGGCTCTAATCAGCACCATGAACAAAAATCATTTGATGAGCTGTTACAGTAAACGTCATTTTCTAAATGGAATTTAGAAAGACATACGTATACGAATAATCCAGACATACAGTGAGCCAGGTGTAACATTTAAAAGCTAAGGAGTCATCCAGTCAGGCAGTTTACCATGGGCCCATCTCAGAAAAGCTGCGGGGAAGCTGTAAAGTGCCTGGATTCAGTCTCTGCAAATACATCATTTTGCATAAGGAATTTCTGTCCGTGCCCTATGGATGTCAAGGGATGTGTTTGGGAGAAAACTGTAGGTGAACACCATAATTACTGAAAATCAACTGTGCTGCAACTGGATTTTACAGCTGTGTGATGTGTGGTACATGCCTGACATCTGAAAGCCGGTGTCAGTCTCTTTCCTCTCAAGTATGGGTAACTCCCTAGTGATTTACTACACTTTCTTGTATAGTCTTTTGCACATAATTTTCTAAAAGCCACAAAAATGTCAACTATAATTTGAAAATACCTAGTGTTCTTACCCCAGCAATGTCTGTGATCACTTTTTCCATGACTTCCTTTCCACCTGTTAATCGAGTAGCACTCTGAAGAAATGTGATGGCCTTCCTTAAGTCTCCTTCTGACACTTTAACAAGATACTCTATTCCCTGAAGACAGAAGAGCTGTTTTTAATGTGTGATCACCAGTTAAAGTTTTCTGAGTTTAAAGAAAAATGATACAGTATGTTTCAACCTAGAATTGGGGAACAAAATACTTGTTTCTAGAGGAATATCAGTTGTACAGTGGTAGAAATTGATCAAGGCAGCATCTATCCAATGAATAGTGATGTATCAAAACTGGTAGAGATGGAAGATCTTCCATACTTGGACTATTTGCTGGATCATACCAAGCAAAGAAAATTCAAGTTATTGTAAATTCTATGATGAGTAAGGGCTATACATTTTCTTATACCTGGGCTGCTAGTTATGAGTCTAAAAACTTGTTATGCAGAGATTTACTGCAGAATAAACATATGAAATCTACCAGTCTCTAAAGTACCAGGTAAACCAGCTGAAATCTCTCCAAAAGCAACAGCAGCTCAACCTTGATTTCCTAGACATCCCAACTGCTGCTTCACACAGCTCAGCTGATCCATATGGAATCCTCAAAGGGGCTCAGAATTACCTCGTTGCTAATTTTGACATTTTCCTTCTCAGCAATGTCTAATAACCGCTGCTGTTGAATTTTATCTGAGAGAGGCTTAAAGCGGAACTTTGAACATCTAGATGTCAACGGTTCAATTATTCTGAAAAAGATTGGAAAAACCATGTTGTTGGTGTCTCAAGAATTTTCCAGACTTTGATCAAGAACAAGTAAGGTTTGATGGAGAAATTAGTGCAGTATTGAAAATAAATTTTTCTCTCCCTGGGGGGTTTATCAAAATAGATCGCCTGACAGCAAATACTCAAAACAGGAAAAAGAACTTGGAATGTTCTAATACATGATTTTGAAGGGAAAGAAAGGCCAGCAGAACTAATTATTATAACACTGTACTGATGTATAGAAATGTCACATGGCACTCCATAAATAGGCACCATGTGTCGGTCAGAAAAGCTGCCCAGGCTCTGCGGTCAGGGCAACCTACGCACCGGCTGACGTAGTTACAGATGAGGCAGAATCGTGTGGTTTTAGACTCCTTCTCCATGGTGCGCCTCAGGGCTGCCTGGGCAGCCGAGGTCATAGAGTCCGCTTCATCCAGAATCACAATCTTAAAAGGAGGACACGGCTTCCCGCTAATTCAGAGAAACACGGAGTGGAGCATTAATACGTATAGCTTTTAACAGCTTTGGTGAGACACAGAACAATTCATGGAAAGTGTACACAGTTCAGTCATTTCAGTGTGTGACAACTCCCTTATTTATAGCGGTGTGTTTTAAGAATACAGTGGATACCTGAAACCAGATAGTATCAAACCTTACACAAACCGTTTCTCCCTACATATAGGTATCTATTAGTGCTATTTTTTTCTGTCTCCTCCGTCCCTCTCTTCCTTGGCAGGACTGTGCCCAGGGCCTTCACACTGAATTACATCCTTAGCGTTTTTTTTTTTTTTTTTTTTTTTTTTTTGAGACAGGGTCTTATTAAGTTGCAGCAGGGCTTGAACTTGTGATCCTCCTGCCTCAGGCTCCCAGAATGCTGGGACTGCAGGCATATCCCACCATGCCCAGCACCTAGGATACCTAAATTTATAAATTAATTTTGGCTGGAATAATGGCTGGAAGCCATTAGCAATTACTTAAAATCAAACAGTTGTGGTAACAATAAAATTGACAGGATTTCTAATCCTGTGTTTGGCAGCTACTGTTAGGTAAAACAAGGGTGCCTGGAACACGAGCACTGATGCCACACGACCCGAGAACTGAGAACCGAGACGCGGCCGGAAGTTGAGCGCATGCGCGGCATGGACATACCAGGCACACTCAGCTGCTCCTCGCAGAGTATTAGCAAGCGGATCTGGGAATTGTTCCAACACATGAACTTTTGGGGATTCATTCAAACTACAACCCATAATGTCACGCTATGGAGAAGCAAAGGCAAGTTCACTTACTCTGAACGACTTCCTGAGACGGCTAACTGAGCAAAATTTTTCACTTTCTCTCGAACTACTTGTATTCCTCGTTCATCGGATGCATTTAACTCAAGAACTCTTGATCGAAACAGGTCAGGCCTATTTAAAAATGAAACAAATATGTAACATAAAGCATACAAATAACCCAGGCCTAAGTCATATTTTAACATTCATACACTTTGGTTTAGAATCCACCTAACAGATATAAGACATACAATAATTTATTTTCTTTTGCAAAGTCATGCAATTAACATTTTGGTTCCTTCCCATTCATTAGAAAATGTAGATTATTATATAGCAAGTAAGATTTTAGGACAATTTTCCACTTATTTTCTACAATAAACATCTTGCAGTATCCATTGTAAATGTCATTTTTTTTGTGGTGGCTGGTTTCATCTGTTCTTGTAAATGTCATTTTAATGGCTAGATGATGTTTTTTAATTTACTTAACATTCTTCAAATGTTACACATCTAGATTTAAACATGTTTCAGTTCAGCACATTTTGAACTAGTTCCATAGAAGGGAGAGCTCTTGGGGAAATCACTGCATTAAACGTGAGCAGTTGTGTTTTCTTTCTTGCAGTGCGGGAGGATTAAACCAAGGTCCCTGTTCATGGCAGGCAAGAGCTGTATCACTAAGCCATACCCCCCAGCACAAACGATTTTTAAAGTGTATTTTTTTTAAAGTTAAATGACCAAAAGTAGTATGATATCACTGTAGAGAAGTCTGAATAATCTAAAGACAATAAAAATACCCAGCATTCTCTGTCAAACCAGTTTTGAAACTTCCCTTTAATCTCTTTACACATGTACACACACAGACACACACAAGGAGAAGATGGCCTGGGGTACAGAGTGCCACAGTGCATAGTGAGCCTTAGGTTCAGTGCAGAGCACAAAACAAAGACCCCACCACCCCACAACAGTAATGATTTTGTCACACACTTCTTTTTCCTAATTAGCAACGTATCTTAATCATTCTTCCAACATAAACAGGAAGCTTGTGCACAGATATTCTATCTGAAACCACAATTACAATTAAAAAGTAAATTTATAAGCTTTTTTTTTAAAATCAAGGACAGATATTATTTTATAAGGGATATACAAAAAGTTACATAATCTGGGCCGAGTTACTCCAGGATACACATGACAATAATGAAGGAATTAACAGTTCCATTAATGATTACATTGCTAAATTAGTTAAGCTGGAACCTGAGTTGTGCAATCAAAAAAGCTCTGAGGAAGAAACGCTGCTGTCTGCTAAGAGGCTCACAGCAGCTTCTCTCGTCTTCCTTCACATTCTGACACAACTAATTAGCCTAACCAAAGGTCGATGCTCATGGCAGGTAAGAGCTGAAAATCCAAGTTAACTTCCAACTTCCCAAAACCTACAAGCCTGTGGCTGACCTGAAGTCTTAGTGATAACAGTCAATTAACACATACTTTGTAAGTATTATAGACAGCAAAAAACAGGTGTAAACTTTAAGACTGTTCTAAAGATACATAGTTTACTGGAAAAACTAACTTTTTAGGACCGACTGCTCAACAAAGAGATGATTAGCATCATTTTTTTTTTTTTTTTTTTGGTGGTACTGGGGATCTGAACCCAGGGATTCTGCACTGAACTTTCCCAGACTTTTTAAAAAAGTTTTTGTAAAATGGGGTTTCACTAACTTGATAAATTAGGCAGAGTTTGAACTTGTGATCCTCCTGCTTCACCTTCCCATGGTGCTGGGATTATAAAGCATACCTGTAACATCTGAGCTCAGTTCAACAGCAACAGGAAATTATAAAAGTATGGCATATACTACAGTTCACTTAATGCAGTTATAACTGAATACTGTATCTTCTACATTTCCCTTGACTGGATGGCATCACGCATGGTTTATGATTTAAAAGAAAAATGTGTACCTGTTTGGAGTACATGATGCTTACTTTACCCCAGGGAGTGGGAACACGTACTGAACATATCTGCTTCTTTTTATTCCTCTTCTCCTCCCACCATTTCCTTCCTTCTGCCTCTAGATCCTCTCTCCCTATTTTCATTATCATTATTTTTAGTTCATGCTTCCGACAGAGATTATATTCACTGAGAGTAATCAGAACACGTACACGATGCATCTTACCATTTGTTATAGCCCCGTCTCTTCCCCCTCCTCCCTACCCTCAGACTCTTGGTCCTCTTCCCATGTGCAAAAGACCTCCCTGTTTCCATTTATCAGTTTTTTATTTTGCTTTTTATTTGTACTTTGGATTGCTCGAATGAGAAAGTATACAGTATTCGTGTCTGACATATTTCACTTAACACTGTTTCCAAAGTGTTTTCCTACAAATGTCCCAAGTTTAGCCTTCGCTTTACCTTACTATTCCATTAGGTGTAGATGCTACGTTTCTTTATTCCTTCATCTGCTGACTGACATATAAACACCTTCCTACATGTAGCTATTATGAATGGTGGTGCTATAAACATTGGCACGCATGGATCTCTGTAATATGATGTCTTTAGCTCTTTTAGGAAGATACCTGGAAGGAGAATAGCTGGGTCAAATAGAATTTCTACTTTTAATTTTGGAGACGTCTTCATATTGAGTTCCATAATGGCTGTGCTAGTTTATATTCCTACCTGTAATGTAGAAGGGTTCCGTTTTCACTGTAGCTGTGCTAGCATTTGTTGTTATTTTTCTTTTATTTTTTTGTTACTAGAGTAGAACTGACTTTGCACTTGCCAGGCAAGCGCTGGGCTGCTGAGTCACATCCTAGGCCCCTCAGCATTTGGTATTTTTTTCATTTCTTGATCAGCATTTTTTTCTAGTGAGTGATGAAATCCTAAGGGTTAATTTGCATTCCCCTACTGGCCAAAAATGTTACACATTTTTTCATATATTGGTGATTTCTGACAAGTGTCATTTATTTCACTTGCCCATTTTTTGATTAGGTCTTTGGTAGGAGGGAGGAGAGGACTTCATTTTCATTTTTTTTTTTTTTAAGAGATGGTCTTGCTATAAAATATGTAGCCCAGTTTGGCCATGAACTTCCAGCAATTCTGCCTCAGCCATCTGAGTGCTGGGACTATAGGTTTGTAATATATTCAATTTTTGGAGGTGGAGTGGAGGAGGGCCTAGTTTTTTCTGAGTGCTTTACATATTCTAGGTATTAGTTTTATTTAACTTTGAAAACACTTCAACATTCAAATAACAGGACATTGCAGACTAAGTACATTCTTGAAATTTCATGGATTCTGTGGCTTGGTTTGTGTTTATATATATGTTTTGTATATTTTATAGCAAATGATAAAAACTTATCTACAAATATTTTATAGATTTATGACATACCTCACTTTTTCTTAAAAAATGTGATAGTTCTTTGAGACAGGGTCTCTCTCTGCAGTTCAGGCTGACCTTAAGCTCACTTTGTAGCCTAGGCTGGTCTCAAACTCAAAACTATCCTCCTGCCTCAGTCTCACGAGTGCTGGGATTACAGGTGTGAGCCACCATGCCTGGCTTTTTTTTGTTGTTATTGTTTTTTCCTTTTTGAGACAAGGTCTTGCTATGAAGTTCAGGCTTGCCTTGTGCTCACTTTGTAGCCTTGGCTGGCTTGGAATTTGCAATGATCCGCCTGCTTCAGCTTCCTAAATGCTGGGAGGCATGCACCACCATGCACATCTTTTTTTTTTTTTTTTAATTTTTACAAATCTCAAAAAAAAAAAAACAAAAAAAAACTCCGAAAAACAAAAAACCCATTCAAAGGTCAGCTACACAACTTCTTTTTTTTTTTTTTTTTTTTTTTTTTTTTTTGTCTTTTTCATTTTTATCGGTACCAGGGATCAAACTCATGACTGCCTGCTTGCAAGGCAGGCGCTTATGCCGCTGAGCTAAATCCCCAGCCCCCAGCTACACAACTTCTAATATTAAGGCTTCTTCACAATAACTGGTTAAGCCAAGACAGTTGGTCTAGGAAAAGGAGTCTTCAGGGTTGTCATAGGGAGGCTTTTCGGTGAACTTGGAATCATATTCATACCTACGACCAGCCCTGCTCACACTCGAACCTGAGGGCAAGGAACTGGCTGAGCCACTCAAGGCTGGGCCTCGGAGTCCAGAGCAGAAGGAACGCAAGATACCAAGCTACTGCAGATGCTACTACAGAGCCACAGTGACTCATAAAAAGGATGGTGACACTGCAGTGTGACTGGCGATCACAGATCCTCTAGCTCCAAAATCAACACGAAGACGTCAGAGATAGTGACAAGAATGAAAAGAAACCACAAGCTCCCTGAATTCAGTATGGGCAAACATTCGAGCCAGGTTCAGAATGAAGGGTGTAAAGGATGTAGGAAACTAATTTATTTGGGAGAAGAGGATGAAATGAGTCCATGGAATTAACATGAAATAAAAATAAACCCAAGGACCCCAAGGAAAAACCAAACGCACAGTTTGGTTGTTTTGTTTAGCTTTTGGTGCGGGGGAATCAAACCCAGGGCTGGGCCACACTAGGCAGGTACTATAACATGGAGCTGTATCCTTGGTCACAAATGCACGCAGTCAGAGCACACACAGCGGTACCGAAGATGCGTGGTGCTGAGAGAGACTCACAGAGTGAGCCCGACTTACCCAAAGAGTTCTCGAGCTGCTGCCAAAATAGTAGACGTCTTTCCCGTGCCAGGTGGCCCGTAAAACAAGAGGTTGGGGAGCTGTACGAATTAAATTTTAGGTTTTATAAGTCGCATGTTGGCACAAGTAGATGAAAGTCATGACTGCAAGGGTCTCTGCAGTGGTGCAACTACATCCCCCGGAGAGCATGTATGTTATGTGCTAACCATGCAGATTTCTTCACATAACTGGAAGCTCCAAGCACTGCTTTTCACATACTATCATTTTTTTTTCCTACAACATCTTTCTAATCTTTTTTTTTTTTTTTTTTTTGGCACCGGGGATCAAATTCACGACTGCGTACTTGTAAGGCAGGCACTTATGCTGCTGAGCTAAATCCCTGGCAAAGTATTTTTTCTAATCTTTTAAATGGAATCAATATTTATGTTTGCTCCACAGCTGATGTACTAATTTCAAAGCAGGAATTAGAAATGTTTTATTTTTTAAGGGAATTTCAGGCTTCTGTTTTGCTCAAATTGAGTGAGACTTTATCTACACACAAATGTCAAATGTTTTGAAGGGAAAGCAGACCAAAAAAGTAATGGCATTTGGTCACTACTAAGGATAAAGGACTACAAAGAGACAAGAGCTTTCAATGAACTACAGCTCTAAAACAGAAACATTAAAAAACAAAACAAAACCACATACAAGAAACAAAACCTGACCGTGTTAAGTGCTAGGCACTACTCAACATCATCATTATGCACCCTGTAAGGATGACTGCAAATATTGTAGAGTTCATCTGAAAAATGAAGGTTAAGATTAAATAACTAGGGCCGCAGATGTAGCTCAGCAGCACAGCGCCTGCCTTACAAGCACAAGGTCCTGAGTTCAATTCCCGATACAAAAAATTAAATAACTTGATATCACCTTTTATACTGCCTACCCAGCCAGCTGGGATTTTATCAAACAGAGGCTCTGCAGTGAGGACAGATAAACATACTCTAATTCTAATGAGCTCTGTTATGGAACTGTGTAATCTTTTGTTCTGTATCTCTTCAGACAGGAATTGCTGCATATAGGAAACTAGAGGCAGTAGAGTTCATTTGCTTTCATTCTCGCGTCGTCTCCCCTTTCATGTTCATTCGTTCTCTACCTGCATCAGCTACTGAAAATTAATGGCTGGCTTCACATCCCACTTAGGAAAGAAAAGCAGACAAACCACATGCAAGCTGCACCATGCCCTGCCTGGACTTCCGTGACCTGCCCGTTACCTTCTTCTCCTGCCTGGCTCCACTTACAGTGGCCTCCAATGGCCATGCACTTTGTGGCCTGCGTGGAGGTCCCTATGGTCCACAGCCCGACGTCACTGCTTCTGCCTGGCCAACTCAGAAGGTACTGCAAGCTGGAAGCCCTGCCTGACCATCCAATCTAAAGTGGGTCTCCTCTCTTACTCACTCACTGGTGTTCACTAATTTCCATCTGCATTGATTTATTACTGCTTATGTCACTGTTGGGTTAGCTGTGAAATACCTGCCTACTTCCCTAGATGGTTCCCTTTTACAGGCCAAGAACCTTATTTGTTCCATTCACATCTGTATTTTGCCAAAATAATGAAGCAACATACAGACAGTACGTGGATTCAGAGACTGTTAACTGTTACACAGGTAACGCGAAGCCTAAGATACAAACCAGCAAAGCCAGGCATGATGCTGTCATTCCAGCACTGGGGAGGCTGAGGCAGGAGGATCACTGCAAGTTCAAGACCAGCCTGGGCTACAAAGTAAGCTCAAGGCCAGCCTGAACTGACTAAAGAGACCATAGCTCAAAAAGACAAGATAAGACAAGACAAGAAAAAGAAAAAAAAAAAGCAAGCAAATACCTCTTAGGCTTCTTACTAAGGTTTTAACTAGTATTTTGATGTGTGTACTTTAACATTTTTAATGATTCACCCAGATAACTGCAACAAACCGCAATTTAAATTCTTTAAGATAAAGCCAGGTGTGACGGTACACACTGTAATCTTAGTACTTGGGGATGTTGAGGCCCCAGTAATGGAAAAACAAAACAAGCAAACAAAAAAGGGGATTGTTCTCATTATATTTGCCTAAAGAGTTGAAAATACTAGTAATGAAATTGAGGGCCAGGAATTTAGCTCAGTGGCTCAAGCACTTGCCTGGTAAGTGTGAGATTGTGAGTTCTATCTCCGGTACCAAAAAAAAAAAATGTGTGGCTGGTCCGATGGCAGTGGGTTATCAGAACTTATTTTTTTTTTTTTTTTTGTCTTTTTCGTTTTTATCGGTACCAGGGATCGAACTCACGACTGCCTGCTTGCAAAGCAGGTGCTTATGCCGCTGAGCTAAATCCCCAGCCCCGGGTTATCAGAACTTATTAACATTAGTGTCACTAAAGTTGGTATACCACCCCCCCCCACTGCTAAATTTGACTGGCTTTAAAAAAAAAAAAAGAAAGATGTGTACTAGTAATTAAATTGAATCTTGTCTTACAATCTGCTTAAATACTATTGTTCAATTAAAAGCCAATTAGTTTTATAAAATTAAAAAGCAAAAGAGTAACTGAATCAAAACAAACATGGTAAATACAAAGATTTTAAAGTTTCATGACTGTAACTTCTTTCAAAATATTTACGATACATTACACGTAAACATTCTTGACTTAAAAATCCAAAAATCTGAAATGCTCCAAAATCCAAAATTCTTTGAGGGCCAACATGATGCCATAGTGTTTAATTACCCTAAGCCCATTATGTTCTCACTGTATTAATAAATGCCATGTTTTTCACTGTTAGTTCATGAGTGTATGAATAAATACAGAAAGTCACTGCTAGTTGGCAGTGTCTAAATTCAGAGTCAGGGATGGGCTGCCAAACAACCATGGAGTAGACCCAGGGTGGCCGACATACATGGAATTATTAAAGCATTACCTAAAATTCCTTTCGGGGTATGCGTATCACAGAAGGTATCTTATGTGAACACAAATGTTGTGGTTTGGATTGGTCTGAAAGTCTTCCCAAAGCCCGTGCGTCCCCATGCTGGGAGTGGCAGCCTGCTAGGTGGCAGGGCCTAGGGGAAGATGTCAGGCATTCAGGAGTGTGCCCTGGAAGGGTACTCGGGGACTCCAGCCCCTTCCCGTCTCTCTCACCCTCCCAGCAGCCAGGAAGCCAGCAGCTCTGTCCACCGCCTCCTTCCCACCATGGTGCACTGCCTCTCCACAGGCCTGGAAACAACAGAGCCGAGCACCCAGCACCTACAGCCAGAGTATCTTCCCTTTACTTTAAATCTTTCCTTTAAAGTTATGTCAGATCAAGTTTTGTCACAATGATGGAAAGCTGATTGATGCATCAGGAAAAAAAATCCCAAATCCAAAACACTTGGGAGCATTTGGGTAAGAGAAGGGATATTTAACCTGTTCTGTAATTGTAGGAAGAGAACAGCAGCAGCAGAAACCTAGGAAACTTCTAACTAAAAGCAGCCAGGTTAATGAAGCACATCCTAACCTTAAAACAAAAACACATTTTAAGGCTGGGCCTGGTGGTGCACGCCTGTAATCCCAGCACTCAGGAGCCTCAGGCAGGAGGATCACTACGAGCTCAAGGCCTGTCTGGACTACCAGAGAGTTCAAGGCCAACCTGAGCTGCATAGCGAGACCCTGTTACAAAAAACCAAAAAGAAAAAAACAAAAAAACCCATTATCCTACTTCTTTAAAAAAAAACTGATGTGTGTGTGTGTGTGTGTGTCGTATTTTGAGACACGGTCTCACTATGTAGTTCAGTCTCGCCTTGAGCTTACTTTGTAGCCCGGCTGGTCTTGAACTTGCAGCAATCTTCCTGCCTCAGCCTCCTGAATGCTGGAATTACAGATGTGAGCCACCATGTCCAGCTAAAACTTTTTATTTTTATTAGTAAATGTGGGCAGTATATAACAATTATGTTCACTATGGGGAATTGGTACATGCGTATTACACATCTAGACTCTTAAAAATCTATTGTTTACTTATCTATGACTTTTCTCTCTGGTCACTGAGTTCTGTTTTTTTTTTTTTTTTTTTAAATTTTGAGACAGGGTCTCATTGAAAGTGTCCATGCTGGGCTTGAGCCTTGTCTCAGCCTCCTAGAGTGCTGGGATTACAGGTGTACACCACCACACCCAGATCTTCACTGAGTTCTTAATGCACCTGGACACTTCATCATGCAGGATTTAAAATCACTAATTCTTTGTGTAAGTTTATTTCATCTCTGAATAAGCTAAGACATGAATTACTCCATATTTTACCCTATACAGCACAGTAGGAAACACAGTGCTATTAGAATAAAACGCTCAATGCTTTTTAAAAAATACTGTAATTCAAACCAAATTTTATTTTATTTAATTGGTTCGAGGGATCAGACTCATGACCTTGTAATTGCCAGGCAGGTACTTACACCCCTGAGCTAAATTCCCGGCCCTCAAATCAAATTTTAAAGCTAGGGGAACAAAACTTTTAAATCTCTGGCTGCTCTTTGTAACATATCATTGTCTATAATTACTTTCTTTATTTGGTTTGCTTTTCTGCATCAAATAAAAACTCTTTAAAAAAAGATTCTAGCCTGTCTTGTTCTTTGGTCTTTACTTGAATGCTGAACAGTGAGAAGCAGTCATGGCTTCACAAACTCAAATGTCCCCCAAAGGTCTTATGTTGTTAAAGGGTTGGTTGGCAGCCCACGGCATGCTGGGAGATGGAACCTTCAGGAAGTGAGGCAGCCTGTGGCATGCTGGGAGGAGATGGAAACTTCAGGAAGTAGGGAGTAGGCAAACCATGTGTTTCTATCACAATGCACTGTGCTACCATGGGTCTAACAAACTGTAGACTGAAACTATGAGCCAAACAAACCTTTCCTCCTTTCAGGTATGTTAACTTTGTCACTGCAGTAGCAGAAAGCTGCCTACCACAGACTTTTGCTAAGTACTTACTCAGCTAGTCATCACCAGGCAGATAGTTACCAAGGACTTACTGTATGTGTCGTATGGTATTTAATGGAGGCAAAGGTTATGAACAAAGGAAGAGGGCAAATAAATCAGGTTTTAAATCTCCTAGTGACATAGACAATCCCTTACTCACGTCAGCTCCTTCTAAAGATTTTTTCAGCACTGCAACCACTTCTTCTTGGAAAGCAACTTCATCCACACACTTGGGGCGGCTGCAGTTGGGGCAGAGGAGAGGCTACTGAGTATATTACAGGAACCACAGAAAAGTTCCTTCTGCTAAAACCCATTAATTCTCATACATTGGTCATGAAATGTGAGACAACTGTGTGTACACAGATACCTCATTATTTATCTTAAGCAAATACATTTTGAAGTAAAATAATTTTTCAAATAAAGCTGCATTGCTCATATTAAAAACTAAGCAAAAGGATTTTAAAAAAATTTTTCTCTTTTTTGAGACAGGGTCCAGGCTGGTCTCAAACTCATAGGGATCCTTCTGCCTCAGCCTCCTGAGTGCTGGGACTACAGGTGTGTGCCACCACTCCTGGCAAATTTTATTTTATATATCACAAATATCAATGGCTAAAAATTAAAGTAACACTTGCCAAGAAAGTGATGTTATATACAAGACAAGATCATGACAAAAGGGAAACAGTTAACCTGAGGAGAGGTAACCATTACAGTTAATATATAACTACTTCTGTAACTATATTATTATAACTATTAACCATAACAGTTAATATATGTTAATTGGTTAATACTCATTTTTTCTATCTCCTAACTACATCATAAAAGGGAGACCTATTCATTAAGAGCTAATGAAAAACAAGTAAAACCAAAATGAAGTAGAATAATATGCAACTTTTTTGGTTGAGGTAGGGTCTTGCTATGTAGCCCAGGCTGGCCTTGAACATGTGTCGATCATCCAGCCCACACCTCCCAAGTGCTGGGATTACAGGAGTACACCTCTATACCTGGCAATAATTTTCATCTTATATCAACCACAATCTTCCAGCAATTTGCCAAAATGATGAACACAAAGAGAAAGTGGAGGGGACCTGGATGTGTGTTCTTTAGGCCTTTCAGAAAACGTGGGGTTGTTCTTTTGGCCGCAGACATGCCAATCTACAAAACGGGTGACACCATAGATATCAAGGGGATGGGTGCTGTGCAAAATGGAACACCACACAGATGTTACCATGGCAAAGCAGGAAGGATCTGCAGTGTTATCCAGCATGCTATTGGCACTGTTGTAAACAAGCAAGTTAAGGGCAAGACACTTTTAATTTTTCACATAAAGCTGCACTGCTCATATCAAAAATTAAAAAAAAGGATTTAAAAAATTTTCCCAAGAGGGTTAATGTGTGCACTGAGCACCCTAAACTAAAAGCTGTCTTGACACAGTCAAGATAGCTTCCTGAAACGGGTGAAGAAAAATGATCAGAAAAAGAAGGAAGCCAGAAAGAAAGGCACCTGGGGTCAACTGAAAGGCAGCCCGCTGGCCCAGAGGCTGTGCTGAGGGAGGACCAATGGGGAGGAGCCTAAGCTGTTGGAAACTTTTCCCTGTAATTCTTGGCATAGGCTGGGGGTGGAGCTCTGACATTCAGTACTAATTGGTGGCTAAGTGCTCAAGGCCCTACTTAAAAAGGAAATCACTTCAGCTAAATAAATGGAAGTCCATTTCGGTTAAATAAATTGTTTAAAGAAAAAATATCATTTATTGACGATTTTTAATTGAAGCTGGAAAAAAGTTAAATCCCCAGCCTTAACTAATCCAAAGTTCTTTGATTCTTCTTTTTCTTTCTACCTCCTTCCCTTCTTTCCCTCTCTTACTTTTTAAATTTTTACTTATTTAAAAACTTTCCCCCTTCATTTCTTTTTGCAGCACTGAAGACTGAACCCAGGGATACTTTTATCACTGAACTGCAACCATAATCTTTATTATTATTTTAAATTTTGAGACAGGTCTCCCTAAGTTGCCCTGGCAGTACTCAAACTTGCCTCAGCTTCCTTCATTGCTAGGATTAAAGGCACCTGCCACCATACCTGGCTCAATTCATAGTTTAAGACAACTACCCAGGTTAATGCCAGGCAGGAATTATGTCAGTGGATATTACTATTATTATTTTGTGTTTTTGAGACAGGGTCTTGCTATGCAGTTCAGGCTGCCCTTCAACTCACTTTGTAGCTAAGGCTTATTTTGAATTCACAGCAATCCCCCTGCCTCAGCCTGCCAAGTGCTGAGATTACAGGCGTGCACCAGCACACCGGCTCTGTCAGTGGATGTTGTTAACAAAGGTCTAATATTTTAATACTGCAAGAATTAGACATGTAAAGAAGAGAGTATATGAAGAAAGAATGTAAAGAAGAGAGATATAAGGCAAGAGAGGACAGCAGAGACTACAGCAAACCGAGGGATCCACAACCTTCCCAAAGTGAGAAGCAGGATTCAAGTGCATCTCGAGTGCTGTCTGTGAGAACCTGCACTCAGCTGATCTGACTGGATAAAAATCTAGACTCTTGTGGTCACATAATGTCTTATTACATCACTTAGTGACAATTTAAGTGTCCCGTCTTTCTTTCCTTCCTCCCTGTGTGCAGTGCTAGGAATCCAACCCAGGACCTCACACGTGCTAGGCAAGTGGTCTACCACTAACCTACATACCCTAGCCCTCCAGTATTGTCTATGCAGAAACAATGTATGCACAAGTAAAACCAGCAACAATTTCTATGTACTGTATTAGTAATAAAAAGAGGGACAGATTATTTGGATTAAAGTAGAATTCTTGAGCAAGTACTCATAGAAACTTTGTTTCCTTTACTTCTGTACCAGCTCCTCCAACAACAGATTTTAGTTTTCAGGGTCTTACTTGACTTATAAAAAAGGGAATTAAACTATATCACATCTTTCAGTTTCAAGGTTCTGTGACTTACTTGATTGGGTGATTTTCAAGCACAGCATCTTAACAAAGCAAATAATTCCCTTACATTAAAAAAAGTGATTAGAATTACACGTATATATTAGTTATTTCAACAAAACCACAAATGTCCTTACTATTTTTCCACCCATGGGATAGGTTTTGCTTTCTTGTTCTCTCCACTGCTCCCTGCAGTGGCTGTGACGCCTCGATCCTTGGCTGATGGTTTTGTCGTGATCGATGTTCCTTTGAGAAATGCCTGCATGGTTACTTCACTTTGACAGGCACAAGGCAAAAAAAGAAAAAAAAAAAAAATCATTGCGAAGAAAGTAAGCACACACTCAACTTTGCGCAGAGACATCTGTAATTACTTAATAGAGGACGTTACTCCCTGGTGCTCTGAATGCACTGTACTGAGGGCTGAAGGTCATATAAAAAGCTAATGTCCTCAAGGAACTTACAATCTATAGCAAGGGTGATAGAGAACAAAGAAAAATCGCACTAGAAAAAACATTAATTTCAAATACACTGACAAAATGTAATGTCACTGATGGTCAAATTGTACCCTGGTCTCTGTCCACCTCAGTGGTGGGCCTAGCTCTAGCCCACACCTAGTGGGCTACAAGGGGTGGGGTACAAATCAGAGCCTTCACTATTCTTGGGCCCAGCCCTCCACTCAAGGGCCTGTTTTGCTGGCAAACCAATGTCCACCTTTGGAGATCTTCTTTTCGGTGGTGAAGGATGGAGGATTCCATTATTCAAAATGGAACATGGTGACAAGTTTAACTGAACTCAAAATAATACAGAAAAGAAAACTTTTTAAAATTCCTACAAAATCCCACCAAGAAGATAGTTACTACTGTCACTTAGGTAAACATTTTTGTGGGTTGTCTTCAGCATTTTTTTTTAAATAAAGCATCATTAGCTTAAATATCCCTAACACTAGCGGAGACTTTTAAAAAATTATTTTAGAGAAAAAAACCAGTAAAAACAATAATACAGAATTTCATATCAAGCTAATAGACACTGCATATTTTTGTTATCTTCAAAGTAGTTGCTCAGAGTGCAAGATACATGCAATATATAAGCACAAACCGTTCTTTTCAATGAACTAAAATAAATTAGTAGTATATTATCTTAGCTATCTTGTATATACACATATATATACTTTATACATATATATACATACACACATATATATATGTACTTAAAAAAAAAAAAACTTCCTTTTCTCCTTTTCCCCATCCCAGCTGTTCTTTTCTTTTGAGCAGATTGTTTATTTTCTGTGCCCACCTCTTGCTATGTAGTTCAGGCTGGTCTCAAATTCACTACATAACCCAAACTGGATTTGCGACTTGCAGGCATGCACCACCATGCCCCGCCCCGCCTTAGTGACAATTCTTTTTTTCTCCCCATTGCTGTCTGCGCAGTGCCTGGAACAGTGTCTAATATGCACTAGATGCATGACATTTTGTGAATGATTTATCACCTGAGATTCTGAAAAAGGAGCTAAATCCTATAAGGCAAATAAATGAAACAAAAGACCGCAAACACGTAGCTTTGCGCTTGGAACTTGGGTATATACACAATAAAATAAGATACGTGCACTGCTAAGATCTGTAACCAGCTAGGGCTTTAAAAGCTTTAGGATTGCTCCATCCTTGCCACGGCTGCTAAAGGGTGCTACATCCCGAAGCAGAGCTCTGTGCTAGGCGGTGCGGAGGCATCACTTCACCCAGAGGTGCCGGGGTGGGTATGGCAGGGTTGCCAGCCTAGAGCTAGTGCAGATGAAGACCTCCAAGAAGCAGTAAGGAAGAAAGGAGAAGCCAAGCTCTGAATTTCTGCAGCCGATCACCTGCAAACGGGCTTCCCGCGCGGGACCCGCAAGGCCTGGGCCTCTCAGCTGCTCGTCTGAGTGGCGAGCGCGTCACCGGCAGGTTTCCGGAGATTCGGGATGGGGAAACGACGAAGACAGTCGCGAAGGCTTAGTTCCGTCCTCCAGTACCGGAATAACCGGCCAGGTGAGTTGCAGTCGCGGCAGAATCCAGACCGCCCGCATTTCCCGCCACCCGGGGCCGCGCAGGGCAGGGCGGGAACGCGGGGCGTGCGTCACTTCCGGCGCCCGCCCGCGCGGTGTATTGTGGAACCTTGAGCCGCACAGATGCTTACGGATTCCTGCCCTGGAGCCGGCGTAATCCGGGAGGTGGTAATAAAGTTTCACCCCGGCCCCGTGTTGCGTCACTCCAGACGGCAGGACACAGATCCTGCAGCTCGACTGGAGGCTCGCGGGCCTCGGGACCAGGCGGTCTGGGCAGCGGCTGCTCTCTCTAGTCGCGGGCCTGCACTGTGAATTTATGACACGGGGCAACCTGTGGACGCAGCTGCGGCGACACGGTTCTGCTAAGGAGGACGAGAGTTAGGGAGTGTGGAGCCGGTCTTTCGCTAGAAGAGGGATTTCCTGATGGTGGAGCCGATGGTCTTAAGGACAGAGGCAGCTGAAGGTGGCTTTCCTTGCCTTCTTGATTTCTGTGTAGTGTCTGCCTCTCGGGGAGAGCGAAGACCCTCTGTGTATATACCTATGAGTATCTTATTCCCTCTCGGAAATCCAGTAGTGCGGGTGATTCGTAAAGGGTACGAGATGATAATCGTATTTAACCCTACCAGGGTTATGCACTGTGGGCTCTAGACAAGTGTCTGGGTTACCGCTTTTACCTTTCCCAAATACTTGGTTTATCTCTAAATTTTCCTTAACTCTATTGAAACCTGTTCCTTTTCAAATGCTGCATTCCCCGCCATCGTTTACTAATTATTAACATGTATGGTTGAGCAGCGTGTTATAGTAAATGACTAGCGTAAATTCAGTATGATGTTCATGGTTAACGTTACATACTTATTAGTATGTATTGCATTGAATGCTTATGGAAGCCCAAGCACTGTGCTGTGTGCTGGTGATTCACCAAGGAACAAGCTGAGAATGCCCGTAAGTAGCTTTGTAGACCAGAAATTTAAGACAGTGTGATACGTGTTATGCAGAGGAACTAGGGAACTGTGCGAATATACAGCCAGGTCTAACCTAATCGAGAGTTTAACCAAGTTAACTAAAGGCGTTTTATTCTACTTTGTAAGTTCCACGGTGCCTGGTAAATTCCCTGTGCAAAACAATGTAAAGTACACAGGTTACCTATATCCGGTTACTGGTTTACATGACCCTAACTAAACTGTATACTTAATGTTTGTAAATTTTATTGTATGTAAGTTTTACCTCAATAAAGTTTATTAAACAAAGAGCTGTGATAATAGGTGTCCATCTATTGCTTGAACAGAGGGTGCAGTCACATAAGGAAATACCCTGCCTTACAGATAAGAAGGCCAACGTGTAAAGCGGTACTTGTCTACTCCGGCTGCTGTAACAAAATGCCATAGACTGGATGGCTTAGGAACAACAGAAATTTATTTCTTATAATTCTGGAGACTGAGAAGACCAAGATGATGGCACTAGCAGACACAGTGATGAGGGTTTGCTTTCTCACAGACGTTGCCTTCTCACCCTAACTTCACATGGTCTGAACTCATTCCTCTGGCCTCATTTATTAATTTATAATTTTCATGTAATTAATCCATGGCAGCACCACAGTTATGGCCTAATCACCTCCCAAGAACTCTGCCTCTTACACCATTGCCTTTGGGATTACTTCAATGTGGGAATTTTTGAGTAACATAAATGTTCAGGCCAAGCAAAGATCCGTAGAAAATAAGTGGCAAAGCAAGAATCCACCTGGGAAAGCCAGAATTGTGACTCGAGAGACAGGGCAAGTTCACAACTAGCAAAGAAGCGGTTTTATGCTAATTAAAAGAGAAAACTGACTGATACTGTTTCAGCAATTCATTTAAAAAACACCATCATTCTCTGGGCATATTCAGCCCTTAAACGGAATCAGAAGTGATGAGAGATGGACTGGATTACAACTGCCGCTTGCCCCTCGGTTGACCATTCCTTTCTTACTCTGTCTTTGCATTGTGGATATACAGGTGCTTATGTAATTAAAACAGGTGATAGGTTTCCAATAGCTTTTATTTTTTAAAAAAAATGGGTACCCATTCTGTTTCTATGGTTACTGTTAGGTCATGTTTACAGCCTTACTTAGTGTGTTGCCCTTTGGAACAGATGAGACAACTTACCTGGATTATATCTTATGGGGCCACTAGGAAAGGGAAACACTCGGGTGGAAAATGAGAAGAGCCGTGGGGTGGGAAGGCTGGGACAGTGAGGGTGGTGCTGTTTTAAAGTCAGGATGTGCCGTTATACTAGATGCTCAGGTGTGCCTCCCTCTGAGCTATTCCCCCAGCGGCTGGGAGTGTAACAGGTGAGCGTTCTCGACTGAGTTTCTCTAGCATTTGTCCTCTGCCAAACTGAGCCACTTTGTCCAAAGTTGCATTCCTTCCCTGGAGCAGGTCATTTCCAAGGACTGGTGCCTTTGCCCTAAGATAGTACAATTCTTTCTTTTTTTTTTTTTTAAACAGGCTAGCCTTGAACTCATGGCAATCCTCCTACCTCAGCCTCCCAAGTTCTGGGTTTACAGGCATGCACGACCATGCCCAGTCAGCACAATGCTTATAGATTATCTCAACTCCAGCTCTGTATTGCACCTGCCTCATGGTACAGTTTCTTTTACTTAGTCCTGCTTCTTACATCCCTCTTAGGTGTTGTTACACACAAACAGACACACACACACACACACACACACACACACACACACACACTTGCATGCAGATCTGGTGTAAACTTATTTCTTAAGAGTAGTAGTAGTCCCAAAAAGTACTTTTGGAAAGTAGTGCCAGAAAAGAGCTTTCTCATGGCCTAGCATGCTTGAGGCCCTGGATTTCATCCCCCGCACTGAAATACAAAACTAAAAGGCTCTAAAGGGAATTTTGCAACTGGGTCATCTGCCAGCCTGCTCATGATGAGAGCCCCATCAAGGGTGGTAAGGAGGTACTGATTATCCCCTGGTATACTTTGGCAATTGTTAGAAACTTTCATGGTGGCAAACTGGAATAGGATGCTGATGAGGAGTGCACCAGGAGATGCATCTTGAAAGGTTTAGGAAATAGTAATTATAGGAGATTTGGAATGGGACAGCTACTTAGAGTGTCAATAATTCATTAAAAGGGTGAAGGTGACCACTGATCAGTATAGGACCAAAGATCAAAGTCAAAGGGGCTGCTTGGCAATATTATATACAATGATTCACACATCCTACAGAGGAGGAAAAATTTGAATCCAAACTCAATTATATTGTGAAAATCTGATATGAGACCAAATGGTAGACTGTTTGCACCAAGGAGTTGGAAGGTAACTGTTTATTATGTTAGCGGGCCAGTGGGACTGAGTCCAAATCACCAGCCTCCAATCAATTTTGTTCTGATTTTTTCCCCTTTTCTCCTGAAATAAGTTTCTGTGTGAACCATAAACAAATTGCTGATGTGGGTAAATTAATCTTCTCTTCTTTAACAGAAAAATCAAACTTTCTGATAGTACATGTTGATAATTGATTTTTAAAAGCATATTATGAGCTTTATGTTTTGTTTTTATGAGAAAAATTCCAATTTCCTCTTGGTGATTATTAATAACTCTGGTTCTTCTTGGCCCCAGACTGGCTTGAGAGGGAAGCAGACACATCAGAGATGCACTGATCTAAACCTACAAGCTTCAGCTCCACTTCATGGAGCAAAACTGCGAAAGGTCTGGATCTAGGTTAGTAACGCAGACTGGTCCTGAAACTTTTCCCTTCATGCTATCTGGGTTTCTTTAGGGGCAGAATAGGCAGAAATTAGCCCTGGGATTTAACTCTCACTGTTGTGGTAAAACTGAATCTAGAAAAGAAATGACCCCCAAGGAAGTCAGGAGCAGCAACAGCTTTACTTTGCACCAGTGGTCCTGGCTGGAACAACTTCCAACAAAAGCCAGGTGGTGAATGTTACAAGCCAGCATTTTTATATGAAGCATAAGCAGGGGTTACAAAACAGGGACAGGACAGCCTGGCAGTTTTTCTGATTAACTGACAGAGTGAGACCATCAGTTACAAGGTTAGATTAATGACCAAAAACTGGGCACCATCAAGTATCCTGAATGTTCAGCTAGGCTTTCATGGTTAAAGAATCAAGAGAGCAATTACAGAGCGAGGCAGCTTCAAAGATAGCAAAATCTTGAAAAGAACTATTTGCTGAGGGCTGGTGGCACATGGCTGTAATCCCAGAACTTGGGAGGCTGAGGCAGGAGGATTGTTGTGAGTTCAAGACCAGCCTGGGCTACAAAGTGAGCTCGAGGCTAGCCTGAAGAGAGAGACTTTGTCTCAAAAAGACAAGAAGGAAAAAAAAAAAAAAAACTTAGAAAAAAAATTTTTTTTTTTTTTACTTTTCACTACAAGGGAGTTTGGATAAGTTAACTCAATATTCCTTAAAACATTCTCTCCTTTGGTAGTGCTTCCATCACTCTTCCAATGAACTACATTTCCAGCCCTTAAAAAAAATTAATTTCAGGCAGAGTCTTGCTAAATTGCCCAGGTGGAATTTGAATGTACAATCCTCCTGTCTCTTGCCTCTCTCAGGGCTGTGATTACAGGTATGCGCCCCCTAGCGCCCATTCCTACATTCTTATTTGTACTTGATTACTGTATAACTCAGAGACCACACCTCAGTTTCCCTGTGGAGATCGAAAGAGGTGTGCGGCAAGCCTAGCACCTGGTTTTGAGCAAACTGTCACTCAAGTCCGCAAATGGTCAGGTTGAGTCCAGCTCCAGGCTGGGAGAAGTTTCCCCCGGCATCTCCAGCTCTGCCGGCCCAAAGGAACCTGGTTATGTGCTGGGAAGGATCCTGAAGTTTGTGCATACAATGTTTGCTCGTCTTTTTCACTAGACAAGGGAACCAGACCAAAACTGTTTGACCTTTTAACATCTGTTGAAATTCGTGCATCTCGGACATCGCAAGCGGTTTGATTCTGCCATCTAGTGGACAGGAAAGGGAAAGCCAGATTTAAAGCAAAATGCATTGATTTTTATCGGAATCTGTAATTTACTAAAAAAGTGTTTTCTAAGTAGTATCATCTCAG